GCTGGAGCGCTGTGCTGGGGATGGAGCTGGAGCGCTGTGCTGGGGACGGAGCTGGAGCGCTGTGCTGGGGACGGAGCTGGAGCGCTGTGCTGGGGACGGAGCTGGAGCGCTGTGCTGGGGATGGAGCTGGAGCGTTGTGCTGGAGATGGAGCTGGAGCGCTGTGCTGGGGATGGAGCTGGAGCGCTGTGCTGGGGATGGAGCTGTAGCGCTGCACTCGGGCCGCCACCACCTCCCGCCCACAGCCCCATGGCTCTCGCCACCGGGGCCACAAGTTCATACCATTAAAATGCTCCCACTGTCGCGTTACAGGTCAGGGAAGCAAAAGACAGAGTTTATTTATAGTTCTCCTGAAGTGGAAACCAGCAGAAGCGCCCCATTATTACTGGCAATTTTTCAAGCCACCCAGGAAGAAAAGTGATATTTAGTTGTCGTTAAAGACTCATAACTGCATAACAATTTCATGCTATGTTAACTTCTAGGTTTTTCTTTTGCATGTAAATTTTTAAGGAGTAAAATAGAAAAACCCAGGCACTTGACCTTTAATCACAGTTATTTGTGTGATCAGTCAAGTGTGGGAAAAAGCTAGTTTGTGCTTGAAAGATGCCCTTTAAAACTAGATTGCTCTAATACGACACACAGCTCACATGATGTAATATATGGGATCCTGCTTACAGCCCCTGGGGCACAGCAGCCTCCCGTTCAGTATTCATGCAAGGGATCCTGCGCTGGTGCACTGGAAGGTATTAATGTCATGAACCAAATCAATGCAGACCCCCGGGATATGTCCGTTCACAATCGAGAGACCCGAGGGAGGTACACACATTTATTTCACCGAAGGAACTAACAGGGAAGAGTATTTTCAACGTACATGCAGAATTTGATGTTAGAGATATGTCTCCCTGGAAGAAGGGTAAGTTGTGCTAATAGAGTACAAAGCTTTCCCATTTATCTAAAATATTATTCCAGGCACTTCTAAACGCTTAATATTAGAACAGCCAGAGGTATTTTAATTACGATTCTGAAGCATCATGTTGTTTTGGGGAAATGATCTCATGAATTTTTCTTTGGCAAGATGGAATGACTAAAAAGCTATTGCTGAGGTGAAGGAAACGGAGCAGCTTTTTAAATTGAGTCTATTGGATTTATTCACTATCGGTATCAGCTTACCACCAGGGAGAGCATGGCCAAGTGAGCGGTATCAAGGGGACACAGGCTGGCGGGTCAGACCAGCATCACGGCACGGGACGGTCCCCACGCGGCAGCGTCCCGACACAGGACGCTCCTGGGGTCAGACCAGCATCACGGCACGGGACGGTCCCCACGCGGCAGCGTCACGGCACGGGACGCTCCTGGGGTCAGACCAGCATCACGGCGGGGGACGGTCCCCACGCGG